GGAAGGAGGAGGAGGAGGAGGAGGAGGAGGAGGAGGAGCCGCCAGCCAGGAAGGGACACGGCGGGCCACATGCGGAGGAGAGGAGTGAAGAGACGATGATTGGCGGAGGGGCAGGCCGAAACCACAGGGCCGCCGATGCCGCCTTGGAGGAGGAGGAGGAGGAGGAGGAGGAGGAGGAGGAGGAGGAGGAGGAGGGGCATGGGGAGGAGGAGGGAGAGGAGGAGGCCGAGGAGGAGGAGGAGCAGGAGGAGGAGGAGGATTTGAGTAAACTCAGGCTGCGTCAGCGATGCTGCAACAGATCCCCATCTCACCAGTCACTACTGGTATCCCGCTCCACTGCGGGATTGTTTGCATTACTACGAGAGCTGGTAAAACTGTCACTCAGGCGAAACCCTGTTTTTTTTTAGGACGCGTCCCATTTTTGTAATGAGAGGGAAGACAGGGAAGAACGTGAGATGCAACGCACATTGTTAGGGTGATAAGCTCCACCAGGATATCACAGCGATAGCTCGGTGATGGAAAGGATACGCCCTGCACCCGTGTAAGTGTTGTACAATTCCAAAGGTCTGGTCGTAACGATTGCGTAAGTCTCAAGCGACGGCCTAGTTTTGAAAAGGAACTTCCACCCGTGTAACTGTTTCACACTGTGGAGCTTCGCGTCGTAAGTTTCTGAGGGATTGTAAACCGCAAGAAATCCTCAGGCTGCGGACATGTCTTGCGATGCGACAGGGGGGGTGTTCAGAAGGGCGAGGGATGGAGAGAGGAGGAAGGAGGATGAGGGGCAGGTGGAGGCGGAGGGACAGGAGGAGGAGGAGGTGGAGGAGGAAGGAGGAGGGACAGTAGGAGGAGGAGGAGGAGGAGGAGGAGGAGGGAGAGGAGGAAGGAGGAGAACACCCGTCCGTTCGAGGCCTGGCTCGGGGCTGGCGCCAGAAGCCAGTGCCCGTGGCGCACCGACACCCTCGGGAGCGGAGGTGCGGCACGAGGGCCGCTCCCAAGGGGGGAAGAGGACTGCGCCGGCTGTGGCCTCTGGCCAGCGCCCCCCGGGAGCCCTCCAGCGGTCGCGGCGAAGGCGCCCTGAGATCCGACGTCTCGAACAGCAGCTGAGACGCCGCGAAAAGTCGAGCCTGCTCCTCCTCCTCCTCCTCCTCCTCCCCCTCCTCCTCCCCCTCATCCTCCTCCTCCTCCTCCGCCTCCTCCTCCTCCTCCTCCTCCTCCTCCTCCTCCTCCTCCTCCTCCTCCTCCTCCGCGCCCCAGGCCCCAGCTTTCTGCGCCACTCTTCTCGAGCCGCATCGATCCGTGAGGGCCCCGGGGCCCGAAACGATGCGACTCCGCCCGGCTCGAGAACAAAAAGTTGAGCCGCCAGGATCTCAGGGCTTGGCGCCGCTCCGCGGGCCCGCCGCCAGCGGCGGCCCGCCGCCGCCCAGCGCCACAGGGGCTCTCGCCGCGCCGGCGGCTCGGGCAGGCGCCCGCTCTGTGGGCCGGGCTGCCCGCCCGGGGCCGCGCGGCCGGCACACGGCCTACGTAAAACGCACGCCAGAGCGCTGCCCCGCGGGGCCGGCGCGCGTCGTGGCGGCCTGCTGGGGCGCAGCTGGGGAGCTCGTGTGGAGCCTCTTTCTCTTTCGACTCGGGCAAGTTTTTCCTTGTGTGGCGTTCGCCCCCCCCCCCCCCCCTTCCCGCCTCGCCCCTCTCCCGACGAACACTGGCGTGCCAGAGTGCCTGTCGATCTGATCTGCGCGGTCTCCGCGCGTGCGAGTCGTGCGCGGCCTGTCTCAGGTTCAGGCCCGCGCCCCCCGCCCATGCAAGCAAATTTGCCGGAGTCTAGAAAAGACAGGCTCGTGCTTCAGTCGGGCATGTCCCTCTACAGGAGGACGGGAAAGTTCTTTTTAGTTGTTTTCCTGTTTTGCAGCATTCCTCCAGGATCCGCTTGTAGGGGGACATATTCCCGACCGAATCGCATGCCCGCGCCAGTTCCCGCTGCCGCCGGTCCCCAGGCAGAGTGCGCACCTGCCCGGGCAGACGGGGGCGGGCATCCAGCACAAGGCCACCGCAGCCGGAGGCAGGCAGTGCGGAGTCGGGGGCGTCGGCGGCACCGAGCTCATGCTGCCGAAGTGCTTTTCATGAAGCTGGATCTAGAGGGTGCCTTCCCCTCCGCAAACTGGCCGCCCGCCATGGATCTGGACGCCCGAAATGGGTACCGAAAGAATGGGTACGATGCCCAACAGCAGTTCCTGTTCATTTTGAACAGGATTCGCTGTCCACGCCGCCGCGGCCTGTGTCCATTGGAGACAGAAGGCCGCCTGCCCAACAGCGGCCGCTGTTGGTCTGGGACAACATGTGTTGTTGGGCATTGTCCCCATTGTTTCCGTACCCATTTCGGGCGTCCAAAAAGGAGGCCATGGCGGAGCGAAGCGAGGTGACCACGGCCGCCGCGCTGCAGGCGCGGACGGCCAGCGAGGCACCTCTGGCCCGACGCGGGGGGGCCCCTTCCACTCGCCGCGCACCGATCGGGGGCTCGACTGGGGGGCGGGGCCCTTGTCGCCCGCGGATTTCTCCGTGGCGCGGAGGGTCGCTGCGGACCGCTTCTGGGAGGAGTTGTCCCGCCTCGATTCGGGGAGGCGGCGGAGGTGGGGGGAGAGCAATGAAAAAGGGAGAAGCACGGGGTGAGGAGGAGGAGAAGGAGGAGGAGGAGGAGGAATAGGAAAGGAGGCAGAGGAGGAGGAGGAGGCGTTTCCCCCCCTATTCCCAGTCCCCCTCGCCTTTCTCCCTTCTTCGCTGCCCCCCGCCTTCTCCCCCCCCCTTCCTGCCCTTCATCCCCCTCCCTCTCACGAAAAGGTAAACAGGGGGAGGAGAAAGAGGAGGAGGAGGAGGAGCAGGAGGAGTAGGAGGAAGAGAAAGACGAGGAGGAGGAGTAGGAGGAGTAGGAGGAGGAGTAGGAGGAGGATAACGGGGAGGAGGAGGAGGAGGAGGAGGAGGAGGAGGACAGCCCATGGCTACGGGACCATGGGCATGAGCACGCCCATGGGCAGAGCATCGTGGGCAGGTACCGCAAGGCGTTGGGGAATTGGGGGGATTTCGGGGGAGCCTATCTCCCTGTTCCCCTCTGTTTTCCCTGCTCTCGGCCCTCCCTCTTCTCCTCGGCGTCTCCTTAGCTCCCATTCCGTAGTGTTGTTTTGTGTGTGCGTGTTTATTTGGCTTCGCTTGAGCGTAGAACACAAGAACGCAACACAACAAGAGGGGAAGGAGACGAAGACGTGGCGGATATGCGGGAGGAGGAAGAACACGGTGTCGGAGGGAGGAGGAGGAGGTGGAACACGGGGGAGGGGTAGAAGGCGGATGAACCGAGCAAACCGAAGATGCATCAGCGATGTTGCCGTACACCCTCCCGTCCCCAGCTCCATCCTCACAAGTCCCCGCGCGTGCTTCTATCCACCGCGTGAAGCTCCACCTTGCCAGACGACAGCCCAACGGGCTTCCATTCAGGCGACCCCCCTGGCCGCAAAGGTCCCAGCATCCGTTCTTCCAGCTACCACGACTGCCGCAATGCTGCGCCATCGAGTTGGAAGGACGTGTCCAGAGATCGCCCCGTTTTTTGAGAAGGGTCGACCCTTGACCCGTGTAAGCCTTGCACATGTTCAGCCATCTACGAGCCAGCGAGGGTTCCAACCCGTGCGTCATTGCACGGGAGGTTATTCGATGTGATATGTGTAGTGGAAGTTACATCGTGTAAGCTATGTGGTGGGAGCTGAGGGGTGAAAACATATGCGGTGTAAGCTATGTGTTGCAAGCTGCATCGTGCAAGCTAGGCGGTGTGAGATGGAGGTGGGAGCACATGTGGTCGGATGCTCGCGGCGCCCGGGAAAGGGCCGCATTCGTTTGAGCACCCCCCCTTGCGCCAAAGCGAGAGCCCCGTGTTTAAAGAGTCGCGTACTCCATCCATGCGTCTGTTGAATATTCCGAGCCTCGATATCACAAGTCGTGAGGGAGTCCCGGTCGAAATGCTAGGCACGCCCTCGCGACTTGCCGGGTGGTGCGACGAGATGGATTGTCTGTATCGGAAAGATAGATGTAAGACGAAGACGAGGGCGAGCACGAGGAGACGTGGATGAGGTGGAGAAGAAGGAGGGGCAGGACCAGCAAGACGAAGAGAAAGAGGATGAGGCGAGGAGGAGGTGGAGAATGAAGAGGAGGCGAGGAGGAGGAGGAGGCGAGGATGAGGAGGAGGAGGCGAGAAGGAGGAGGAGCGGGAGGAGCCGAGAAGCATCAGCATGAGCATGACCATATGGCTAAGTTAATCCAACCACATATCTACGCCTTGCATATGGAAGCCTTCTCGGCCTTGCTCAGGACCTTTGGCCACGAGCCCTGGGAGATTCGCCTCAAATACTCGGTCCTGGTGGGGGCAGGGGGCGACACACACACACACACACACACTCCCGTGGGCCAGGAGCTGCTGGGAACCGAAGCTGCCACAGCAGCTGACGCGGTACCAGAGTTGCATGCCATCGTGATACTGCATCTTGCGACTGGGGCGGACAGATCCACCAGCTCTATGCAAGGCAGCATCGGGGGGCTCATGACATAGAACACCGTCATAGTTCAGGGGAGGGATTACCAGCCTGGAACATATCCCTATCCCTATGCTGGGCACCTCCTCATCACGATGCCAATCTTAGGGATTCCCTTCTCGTTTGAGGGCGAATCCCTAAGATTGTCATCGCCTTTTGGTGTGTCAATCTTAGGGATAGGGATACGTTCGAGGCTGGTAAAGAGAAGCACCGGGCCCTGAGCTCTATGCAAGGCAGCATCGGGGGGCTTATGACATAGAACACCGTTACCAGGAGGAGGAGGAGGAGGAGGAGGAGGAGGAGGAGGAGGAGGAGGAGCAGGAGCAGGAGCAGGAGGAGGAGGAGGAGGAGGAGGCGGAGGAGGAGGCGGAGGGGTATAGTTCAGGGGAGAGAAGCGCGGGGCTCTGAGCCACGCCGTCCGCGGGGTCGCGGGAGGTGGCCCACTCCGCCGCCGCCCTCGCCGCGCATGCGCTTCAAGGACCGCGGCGCGGCCCCTCGCTCCGAGGAGGACAGTGTGCAGGCAGTGGCGAAGCGTCCTCCTCCTCCTCCTCCTCCACCTCCTCCTCCTCCCCCTCTTCCTCCCCCTCCTCCTCCTCCTCCTCCTCCTCCTCCTCCTCCTCCTCCTCCTCCTCCTCGCTCGCCGACAGGCCTACCAGAGAATGTTCTAAGAGCCTTCTGTGTTCTGCACGAAATTGTGCTTAGAGCATGTCTGGCTGAGACTGTCTTGCTTTAACACATCGGGCTTAGGTTCTAAGAACATGGTTTTCGTTCTTAGAGCATGGCGTGGTAGGCCTATAGGAATGCCGGGGCGGTCGGTCCCTGCTCAAAGGGTACCCTAGGCGTCCCAGATGGGGTCGGAGTAGATGGGGTCGGAGGATCGCGCCGCATCGCTGATGCAACGCCGATGCGGCTCGATGTGGAGCCCGATTTGCTTCGCGTCGACGCCGCCGATGCATCGCCGACGTCCACGATGCATCCCTGGTGCATCGCCGATGCATCGCCGATGCATCGTTGATGTATCGGCGATGCGGCGCGATCATCCGACCCCATCTCCTCCGACACCACCCAGGAGGCCTCTAGGTGCCCATACTTCTACCCTTCCCTCGTGTTTCCCTTTTTGGGCCTCCTGGGTAACCGTCGTCGCCACCGCTGGATTCGCCTCGAACCCCTGGTCCGACCGCACCCCGTGAGTGGTCCGGGGAGGAGCGGTATCGGTACCTTTTGGTTCCCCCACTCGCGAATAAGACCCACTCCCCAGTAAACTGGGCAGCTTGCCGCGAAAGCGGGCCACTTCCCCGCGACCCACGCGCCGCGCGCGCGCCCCCTTTGCGCGCGGCGCTCCTGATGCCACTTGTGCCCACGCACTGCGCATTTGCACACAGCAGGCACACATGCCACACGCACTTTCACTGTAATTGGAGACACAAGCGCTAGACACACTTCAACCCTAGAGGAACAGACGCTTCCTAAGTTACAACCTTACAAAGCAGACGATACCTGCACTAAACCCTTAGGAGCACCAGCGCTACACGCACTTCATCCATAGCATCACCAACGCTGCACGCACTTAAACCTTAGCGAGACCGACTGCTTATTGCATTGCTTAGAATATCATTTTCGGTGCTGTTCATGCTTATGCGTACGACAGTGCTTCGAGTATTGTTCAGGAGGTTGTTCATGACATCGTTTATGGCTTTGGTCATGGAGCTGTTCAGGATTCTAGTGAGGAGTGTGTGTGTGTGCGTGTAAACTACCGCTTAGGACTTTGTCTCAGGTCTTGTTTAGAAGCGTGTTTTGATAGTGAATTGTAATATCGATTCGGGCATGTCTCGCGATTTGAAGGTGGTCTTTGGTACTGGCCAGGATGAGTGTGAGAGTAATGCATGTGATATTCTTTATGATGCTGCTCCAGATATTGTGTAGGGTTATTGTGCAGGGTATTGTTCCGTATACCAATGACGATATTCGTTTACATCGTGTTTGTGTCGTTGTTTATGCCATGGTTGTTGGATGTCGTTGGGGATCTTGATCAGGACATTGTTGAGGATACTGTTCAGGATATTGTTTTGGATATTGGTTATTTCAGTGTGAACGATGTTAGTTCGGATGCTGTTTCGGGTATTCGTTCGGGCACTGTTTAGGGTTCGTTTATGATTTTATGTTTAGGGGATGGGTCATCATGCTGGCTATTACATGGAGCTGGCAATTCTTGAACCTAGCTAATACTACTACTACTACTACTGCTACTACTACTACTACTACTGCTACTACGACTACTACTACTACTACTACTACTACTACTACTACTACTACTACTACTACTACTACTACTACTACTAGTACTACTGCTACTATTGATATTACTGCTGTCACTGCTACCACAACTACAACTATTACTACGGCGACGATGACTACGACGACTAGTACTACTTTTCCTACGACTACTACTACTACTACTACTACTACTATCACTATCACTACTACTACTACTACTACTACTACTACTACTACTACTACGACTACGACTACTACTACTACTACTACTACGACTACTACTACTACGACTACTACTACTACTACTACACCTACTATGACTGCTACTACTACTAGTACTAGTTCTACACCTACCATTACTAGCATTACTACTACTACAGCGACGATTACTTTTACCACTACTACTACTATTACTGCTGCTACGATTACCAGTATTACTACCACTATTACGACCACTACTACTACTACTACGACGACGACGACTACCGCTACTAGTAGTACAACTATTAGTATTACGATTACGACAACTACTACCACTATTGTTTCAATTATTTGGGCGATACAGTTTTAACTACTACAACACCTGCTGCTCGTACTACGATTGCTACTCGCGCGAATCCGACGATTGTTATTATTACGACTATTCTTGTTAATACTACGA